ATATTCAGAAAGGATCAGAAAGGAAACCGGGGAGAGAGAGAGAGAGAGAAAGACAGACAGAAACAAAGACAGAAAGGACAAAAGAAACAAATAAAAAAAGAAACAAATATAAACATAAAGAAATTAGGAAAGAGAGAGAGAGGGAAGAAGCTGAGAAGGAGGCACGCGCAGTTGGTATCCGTTGGCATTTTGTTGCACAAGTCAAATGTTTTTGGTCTTGTCTGACGGCTTCTGCCATGGCTCCTGCGTCGATGCTGTTAGTTTGGCCAAGCTTTATTTTCGGGCATGTGGCGCCACAGTTTGATTGGCCGCTGAAAGCTTTGTCTTTTGTTTACGATGTTTTTGTATCTTGTTGCTTTTGGTTGTGTTTCTTGTTTCCGTATCGCTTTCACCTTGGTTTCTTGAAATTGTTGTTGCAGCAGGTGCTTGCTATGCCTGCGTCCAAGTCTTTGTTTTCGCACCACTTGGATGCTTCGACCACAGTTGATGAGAAGCTCTGGTTTTCAGCAAGCAAGAATTGGGGGGCAGTTTCAGATTTTTGCCGGAAATGGAATGGAGTTCGTCAGTACCACTGCCTGGACACATTCAGCGCGAGCAAACGGATTGCTCATACCTTTGAGCAGCACAATTTTTGTGCTGTTTCTTATGACATCAAGGGCAACGCTCTGCACGACATAACCTCGCGTGGAGGATTTATGGAGTTGCTGGATCTTGGCTTGAGGTTCCTAGACTCTGGAGTTATGTACTGTAAGGGTTTTATATTTTTGATTTGTTGCCTGTTGCTGTATGAGTTTAAACTTTGCAACTAGTTCAACCTGGGATTTTGCAGACTGCTGCAGCTTTAAAAAGTAAGGCTTTTGCCTGGAGCCTTCCTAGCGCTGGCGCCGCCGTGCAGCCTCTTTGTGTCGATCAGCCAATCCGTCCACCAACGGACTGACCTTTGGATAGGAAAGAATTGGAAATGATATGTTTTCCAATGCTGTTTCTCATTGTTTCTCCTTACTACATATATCTACATATAAAATCATATATACGGTATATATACAGTATATATATATAGTGTCCTTTCTGTTTGTGCTTGCCAAGGAAACCCATCCTTTGGGCGATGAAACTCGCCAGTCCGTTCGTCTCAGCAACCTCATATGTGCAAATGCAGTGATTTGGATGATTTTGGATGGCAATCCTTGAATTTTCTTATGATTTTTTGACTTTTTTTTGAATCTTTGGGATGCCTGACCGTTTTTGAATGAATCTTTTTGGTATTTTTTGGCTTTTGGGTGTTTCTAGTTTGGATATCATCTGAGTTCATGTTTTTGCTTGCCATGGTCCACTTCCGTCCCAATCTATGGGTAATGCTGGAGCAGCCTTCTTCATCCTGGATGAGCAAGCTAGCATCATTTCGTGAAGTCCAGACACGGTGGGGTTTGTCCAAGTTCCTGACTTACCTGGGCAAGTATGGGCATGACATGTGGAAACCTACGCATCTATTTTCGAACATGAGTACCATGACGCTGGTTGCTTGCAAGGGAACAAAGAAGCTGAAGGAGTCTTACAGGAAGAGAATGCAGCGCAAACGGAGCCGTCTCATCGCTGCTGGCAAAAGTATTCCTGTGTATTGGACTTCCAACGCTTTTGGGTACCATGGCGGAGCTGCGCTGGCCAAGTCTGCAACGTACCCGCGGCGTTTCGCAAACAAGCTTTTCCAAGCTTGGGAGAAGCAGCGTTCCGTCCAAAAGAGGAAGGGGATCAGAGGCTGACTGGCTTTGCCGTAAAGGAATGTACAGGTTTGGCCCAGGCTGCCTTCTCTACAAGCACAGCTGCTATGCACAGCTGTAATGACATGTAATGCTGATTTCATCTGATTTCAGCAGTTCCTGAGTTCTGTAATCCAATTTGGGCAATATTGGATAACATGGGAGGCTTCCGAAACCGGAGAAGGCTTCGGAATCCGGGTGAGCATCTTTGTGCGCAACACGACAGGTGAAAAAAAACATGAAAAACCTTTGGAATTTGACAGAAGTTGAGGGTGCGAAGATGTGCGAAGTACGTGCTGGTGAGTTGTAGTGACTGGCTGCCATCCTAGTCTTGCACACATTGCTGACATAAATAATTTGATATAATTTGACATACCTGAAGATGTCTTTTTTGGATGGGGATCCATATAAACTACCTTTTGGGGATTGTGCCATCTATTCTGAAACCACTGTAATATAAGATATTATATCTCATGAAAGATGTTGAGCTTTTCGTCGCTGCAGAGCATTGAGGCCTCAGGTGTGTTGAACTTTGTGTTTGTACAGCTATTTTAGGGTGTAGTGCGCTTCTGCAGCTCTGATGGCTGGTAGTGATGACAGCACGTGTTCGTGGGAATTTGTTGATCGCTCTGGCACCAGTGAAGATGAAAGTGCTTCTACTTCAAGTGATTCGAGAGCTGATGCCAATACTCCGAGCTCCACAATGCACATTCACATTCATGTGCACAAGCATTACTTGAAAGAGAAGGCGAACCGCGCAAGCCAGGAGAATCAAATCAACATGCCGAACATCAAAACGGTTGTGGTCCCTGGCCAGCAGGGGCCGAAGTCCATCCAAGTCATTTTTCAGCGCTTCAAATGCTGCAGAGCTCATCATGCTGTGAACGAGGGCTTGGAGAATCGTGCATGGGAAACTCTCCGCAGAAGCAATGCTTCATTGGACTTGGAGGGTGGCAGTAACTCTGATATGGACAGTGGTTTGCAGGACCCTGCTGCTGCTAGCACATCTTAGTGAGACAAGGTGAGACACACCAATAGCATTCAATATCACCAGTTGGTTTGTGTTGGTCTGTTTGTTTGATATTCGTTCTTCTATCTTCATTTATTATATACGATGTTTAATGTTTTATGGTTTTGATGGTGTTGCTTCTATATATATATATATATGTTTGTGGTCGGAGTCCTTGTCTCTCGATCGATGCCGGTGTTCCATCCCGCTGCCACAGCAGCACTGAGGGTGTGCTGCAAAGATGTTTGCGTCAATATTTGACGCGATGTCTGTGGTCATTTTGACATAGCTTTGCTATGTTTCTTGTTAGGATATTCTAGGGCATCTAGAGAGATATGGAAAGACCCATGAAGGACCACAGGAGGCCTGTGCAAAAAAAGCGTTTGAAAGCGAGGACACTGATGGATGAAACGTGACAAGACCTGGAACAAAGTCAATTAAGTTCAACATAGTTAAACACAGAGAGAGAGGGAACCAGAAAAAGATAGAAACATCTATAAACAGATAGAAACTGAAGAAGCAAACAAAATATGAACAAGATTAAACAAGACTATGAAGTCAGTTGAAATGATAGCTGAAATGATGTGATATCATTTGAAATCTTCTAAGGCTCCAATCGAGATGTTTTTTGGGCAAGTCAAAACCCGACGAGGGCAAACTGGCTCATGCAACATTGCGAACAGCATCTTGTCCGCACACCTCTTACACCTCAAGCAGTCACAGACGGACAAGAAGGCGAGGCAGCGATGAAAGTATATTTTATAGTTTTTCAGTTAGTCACACATACTATTTAATATTCTTTACTCATATTTTGAGATCAGGTCCATTAATGCAAGCCAAAGTAAATAATCAAGGGCTTCTGCACCCCTAGGCCACCCCTGAATTAATTTGATTGAGTTGTAGGTGTTGTGAAACTGTGACATACACCAGAAGATAATAGAATATATACATATAGATTAGTACAAATTATGCCTTTCTTGACCCCTAGATGACCCCTCAATTAATTTCCTTTCTTGTTGTTCAATCAGCAAGCACGTTGCTTACACAGAGTTTCTCATAATTAATTCTGCCTTCCCTGTCCCCAAGACGACCCCCCAATTAATTTGTTTGAGACTTGTTTCTCCGGTGTTGCTGAACCTTTGTGTTTTTTTCTTTATGTTTTTTGGTAGCAGGCCCGTAGCCAGCGAGTCATTGGTGTTCGGCCTGACATTCGAAGCCTTGCCCGGGAGTGCTTTCAAGAGGTTTGCGTTTTCAATGCTGTTTGCGTTCTGGACCAGAAGCCATCTGCGATTCAGTATGACATGACGCAGTGGTGGACAGAGTTTGGCCAAAAAGAGCTTTTTCCACAAGCTTCCTTTGAGATCACTGATGAAGATTATGAAGACTCAGATGACGACGAGGATGACGAGAAAGTAGAAGCTACCACGGCACAAAAAGTCGATGCTGAAGTGTCTGAGACCATGCAAGACGTTGAGGTGCTTGCAGGTCTGGAGAAAGAGTTTCAGCGTGTTGTGGAGGGAGAAGCGGATGTCCAACTGCCAGATCTTGACATGGATCCTGACACTGATGAGGAAACCATTTCAGATCCTGATCCGAAGCGATCAAAGCCAGATGAAACCATGGGGGATGTGCGAACCCTGAAAGATGCACTGAGGAAGGCTGGCTTCCAAGACTATGTACCATCAGTGAACTCAGAGAAAGCGTTGAATGAGAGGATGCAACGCCTCTTCCCAGTCACAATGGAGTTTGGGGTGCTCATGAGGCTGTCAGATGGCATCTTGTCAAGGGCTTCTGTGGTAGGAGTTTCGCAGAAGTGCCGACAGAACAATTTGGCAGAGCACGCCCTTGCGGTTGCAAGAGCAGCCCATGCCTGTCATGCAGGGCGACAATCACGGTTCGCCCTATGGGCAGCCTATTCTGATCGTTGTGTAGAAGCCAGTGAAGCTGGGGGCGCGGCAAAAATCGTGAAGATTGGCCCAGCTGTCAAACCAGACGCCTCTGGATTCTTGCCGCGTCAGCTTCTAGTTGTCCGCCCTGATCAGGCTTCTTGTTCCAGCTCCAACTCGTTGAGGTTCGCCACGCCCATTTCAGTGTGGAGGGTTGCCAGGAAGACTGTGAAGTCAGGGCGGCGGTATTTGCCTGACATGCATTTGCCAGTGTCCCTTTTGACAAAGGTGCAAGTCTTGTTACTCACACCGTATGAGTCCAAGAATGAAAGCTGGCATCTGCGCGGGTCGAGACTTGTTTGATCTTTATTGTTTTCAGATGTTTTCAGACAATTTCAATCGTTTTCATATGTTTTTTCTCGGGTTTCATATTGTAGGTTTGTTAAATGTTTTTTACATTTTTGTAATTTTATAAATTGTCTAATAAGTTCAGGTTTTTTCTAAGAATTATTTTTTCATATTTTTTCTGGTGCGCGATGTTCTGAGGATGCGTTCTCCAGTGGTGACCTTGGATGCACACGATGGATCGCTGGTTTTTGAGATCCCTGCAGATCAGTTCAAGCTGAAGAGTACACAATCCAGGGTGCCCTGGATGACATGTGTTTGGTATGATTGACATTGTTGAACAGTTTTTATTGTTTGTTTGATTTATATATTTTTATATTTTTTATATATGTGAGTTTGCTTTTTCTTTTTGTGGCATATATATCCAATTGTATCTATATTTTTTAAACGTACCTCTGGCTTCTACTCCAGGTTGATTTTGAGATCTCCGAATTGGCTTTGAAGTGCTGGCGCAAGGTGGGCGAGTCCGGGTTGAACCTGGAGACCCCCAGTGAGCCCAAGTCCAAGAAGGCCAAGGTTGAAACCTCCCAGCCTGGTGAAGAGAAGTTCTCGGCGCCTCTTTTGCTCACTGAGAATGACTTGGGAAACAACAACGCAGGCCGCAAAAACATGTCAGCCTTTGTTTGGACCATGATCCAGGACTTTCAGAAGCAATTCTGGACGATCCTCCATGGCGACAATGTTCTCCATTTGCCTGAAAAGAACAAAGTCCCATGGGAAGAGTTTGCTGCCAAGATTCCTGTGTACTTTCGCCGGAAGTACACGCGTGGCAGCAAAGCCTGGAAAGAGATGTGTTCAGAGGATCGCAATCGCCCATTTGGTGATTTGGTCTTGCGAGAGTTGGACGGCAGACGCCCAACCGTGGGAACCAAGCCAAAGGTCTTCCTTGAGTGGCTTTTGTCGGTCCACATGGAGACTGACGCGCTGAAGGCATAGTCAGATTTCATCAGGTTTCTCATGTTTCCTGAGGATTCTGAAGAAGCAGTTGATGCCATGCCTCAACCAAGGGAATAGCTAGTTTTCAATGTTTTTCACAAATAGTGAAGGGCCATGAAAGATAAGGACAGATATGACCGTCTAATTTGAGGCATCAATGGCAATGTGGGTGCGATCGTGTGCAATGTAGGTTTGGGGTTTTAATTAAATGTCTGCTGAATAGGGGCGCGGACTACACAGATACGACAGACCAGAAGCCGGGATGAAAAAAAATCAGCGTTCATAGCAGAAACATGCAGAAACGATCAGAAACGTGCAGAAACGGCATGAAGCAGTCATTGAAATTAATTAGCAGGTGGTGTGAGGCGTCAAGGAGGGGTCACTCTCTGACAGACACCACCCCCTCAATTAATAAATGCAAATGTAATCAAATATACCTAGGGCCACCCCCAAATTAATTTCTACAACATGTAGTCCAAAAAATTAATTGGACCCTAAGTATGGTGCCAAGTAATATTCCCAAACTACGTGGTGAGGTATATGATTAAATATTTTTTA